TCCATTGATCTTTCTTGTGTTTTAATTTCATTAACTTGAAATACACGATAAATAATCTTGATATTTAAATAATCACTTAATAATGAAATTTCATTTATTTCTTTTGTTTCAATTTTTAAAAAAATTGAATTTGATGATTTTATTAATTGATATATATTTAGTTTTTCTTTTAAATTATTTAATTCATTTAATAATTTATTTAATTGAATTTCTGATAAATCTTCTGATTCTTTTAATAAACGAATATTTTCTTTAAGTTTTTCACAAGTTTTTAATAATTTTTCATTTGATTTATTAATTAATTGTCTAAGATCTTGTTTCGTTTGTTTAGCTATCTCTTTAATTTGTTCAATACTTTCTTTTTTCCATTTATCAATATCATTAAATAGATAATGTGAATCATCTACTTTTCCAAGATCATTTTCAAATTCATTTTCTTCACTAATTAAATCTTCTAATTGTTTTTCTAATTCATTTCGATGTTCATTAACATGTTTAAAACATAAGGTTTTTTGACAACCATTACAAAAAAGCACTCCACCAGTTTTACCACATTTAATACAACTACCAGGAATATTTGCTGCCATCACAACCTATAACAACATATACAAAGAATAAAAACAAAAAACAACATCAAAAACGATTCTTTTTCTTTTTCTTTTTCTTTTTCTTCATCGAGAAAGAAAAAGAAAAAGAAAAAAATTCTTGTTCTTCGTGTAACATATTGATATTAGAAAGGATTTTATATTATAAGACAACAGGTCTTCTATTTATTGTTGACAACTGAAATTTCATTATTAAGTGATTATTTAAATATCAAGATTATTTATCGTGTATTTCAAGTTAATGAAATTAAAACACAAGAAAGATCAATGGAAAGAAATTTAACTATTAAAAAAATTCAACATATCAGTGAGAAAGTGTGTCTTAACTTTTAACATTCTTTCAGTGATATGATAATTTCACACGGATATTGTAATATATTGTTGAAAAATCAAAGCACAATTCAATATATATGATCAATAAACAATAATTCACAATGAACAATTAATTGAACTTAAAATGAAACATTGAATAAAGATTTGTGCAATATTCAAATAGTGCTACATATAATCAAGACTATAAACTATTTTATGACGTTAAAAATTTTTCTACAAAGTTCAAGTTGAATAGAAGATCGGTTAATTAAAAATTGTGACAAATTTTAATATAATATACTTAAGTTAAAACACGAAAACAATCTAGACTATTTATTTTCATAATAACTGTCAATGATTAATAAAATGTAATGTTCAACTAGTAATAGTCTTTTCTCATAATAAAATATTATTTTTCTTCACTAGAATTTTTTAAACGATTATATTTATAAACTGAACAATACTTTTATAGCTCAATATGAAATTTACTCGAAATTTTTTATTATTTTCTTGTATATGTGCTATATTACTATAGTTAACATAAATTAGCGTAAGTCTTCTTTGGATCTTGCATAGACAGTTTTCGAAAATTCTATGATTTACAGATATTTTCTTTTTTTCTCTAGAAAGAATTTTATTGAGAATCATCACAAGAAAGTGAATCGAATTATATTAAATAATACTATTATTTTAGAAAAAAAATTATTTTCTTCTCATTTTTTTTTCTATGAGATATTCGTCAAATGAATTTTTCAACAAATGATTTTATTGAAAAAGACTCTTTTTCACTTTTCATCATTTACTAATGTGACGAGTAACAGTCTTAGAGACGAAATAAAAGTTTTACTTAAAAAGAAAAAATTTATTACCACATATAATAAGTCAAAACTGCAGTCGAACTATTAAAAGGAAATTTTCGAAAAGTTGACAGTTCAAAAAACAAAAAAAAATAGTGAAAAATAAAAATGGTTATAATTTGTGTTATCACTATATATCATATTATTACTATTCCTAGCAATTATTTGAAATTAATTGACTTTTTTTAATTTTTAAGTAGAGTAGATTAATATTTATCATAGAATAGAACAGATAATAAATAGACGTATTTATAACATATATAGTTCAGAAAATCAATATTTATTTAATATTCTCCATATGTTAACAGTTATTTTATATATTTATATTTAAAAGAACATTTTCTTATACTTATCGGTCAAATATAAGTGCATACCAGAGCTCCAAGCAGGCCATATGGCCTGCCTGCCTGCCTGGGCCTGCCTGCCTGTGACAGGCAGGCCAGGCCGAACCCCGCGTCAGGCCAGGCAGGCCGCTTAAAGTGGCAGGCTGCCTGGCCTGTCTAATTTGCTTTTAATATAAAATTCTAATCTTTTAAATTGCATCATTTATGGAAACAGATT